GATTTTTAAAAACAGGTCTGTGTTGTTTTTGTAAGTTGAACTAACAAATTTTACTAAAGAATAATCTGTTTTTTTTTTTTTTTCCAGACCAGCATCTCAGACATGTTGAAAAGGATGTTTTGATCCCTAAAATAATGAGAGAGAAGGCCAGGGAGAGATGTTCTGAACAAGTTCAAGGTAAAATTCAAACATTCATATAAAGATCAAATTCCATTTTTATAATATGATCTGAATTTAATCCTTAGCCTCAGAGTCAAGTAGTCAGTGAATTAATATGTATGAATTGCTTCTCACCCTTTGACTGAGGTACCAGTATTTCAGCTTTCATAACTTCTAGGCAGCTTTCAATTTATTTACAATTTAAAAATATTCCCCCAAATTACTAGTAAAGAACATTTTTTTCCCAGAAGTACAGTTATATATAGAGAAAAAATTCGATATGTGTGTTCTGGAGAAACAAGTTATTCTGGTGATTTTGACAGAGAAAGAAGAAACATCAGATCTAACATGGACTTGTTTTCATTTCTTTCTAGTAACGTATACGTGTGTGTGTATATATATACATATAAATAAATAAAATACCCCCGTGTGTGTATTCTAAGGTAGATTTATTGTGTGACATTATCTATTACTGAATTGTTAATGGAATCCCAATAAGACAGGCCTTGTTCTTTTTCTTTTCTCCCCTTACGTTTCTAAGTGGAAGATACATAAACAAATGTACTAGGCAACAATATATGTATGTTTTCTTTGGAAATACTCCTGTATTATATAAACCTACTTGCATTTTATTGATTAATATGTAATATTCTAATGAAAATTTTAAGCAGAGTAGTGGAAGGTAAAAAATGAGGCCATAATTATTGTCGTCGTTAGGTGCCGTAAGTCGGTTCCAACTCATAGTGACGCTCTGTAGAACAGAACGAAACACTGCCCGGTCTTGCGCCATCCTCACAGTTGTTGCTATGTCTGAGCCCGTTGTTGCAGCGGCTGTGTTAGTCCATCTCATTTGGGGCCTTCCTCTTTTTCGCTGACCCTCTGCTTTACCAAGCATGATGTCCTTCTCCAAGGACTGGTCCCTCCTGATAGCATGTCCAAAGTACATAAGATGAAGCCTCGCCATCCTGTCTTCTAAGGAGCATGCTGGCTGTACTTCTTCCAAAACAGACGTATTCGTTCTTCTGGCAGTATGAAGTATATTCCATACTCTTCGCCAACACGATAATTCAAAGACATCAATTCTTATGTGGTCTTCTTTATTCATTGTCCAGCTTTCACATGCATATGAGGCAATGGAAAATATGATGGCTTGGGTCAGGCACATCCTAGTCCTCAAGGTGACATCTATGCTTTTTAACACTTTGAAGAGGTCTCTTGCAGCAGATTTGCCCAATGCAGTATGTCGTTTGATTTCCTGACCACTGCTTCCATGAGCGTAATAACACCTGTACATGATGGGTAATTAGAAAAGCAGATGGCAGTATTACTGCAGAAGTGTCTTTTTAAAAACCTATCTTTTGAAATGGAGCCCTGGTGGTACAGTGGTTAAGCATTTGACTGCCAACCAAAAGGTCGGCAGTTCAAATCCACCAGCCACTCCTTGGAAGCCCTATGGGGCAGTTCTACTCTGTCCTGTAGGGTCGCTGTGAGTTGGAATCCACTTGATAGCATCAGGTTTTGTTTGGGTTTGGATCTTTCGGAGTGGCCATCAAAAAGTTGTGTAAATTTGGCTGACATAGGCTGTTTTACTGACCACCCTTTATTCACCTTCCCTGGGAGTCTTTTTCATTGAGGGAATACAGTAATTCTGAGTGAGAATGATGGGCTGCTGTGCCCAAGGAAAGGAGAGCCAGGCCGTGCCAACTGTAGTTTTAAGATTGTGTCCATAATGTTTGGATGCTGGGAACATTTGTGTCCCTGTGATGCCATCTCCTTGGAATGACCTTTGCAGTTGATGGACGGAGTGGATAAAAGAAGAGGAAAGAGTAGTTCCTTAGACTTGGCATTGTGTCGTGCTCGTTTCTGTGTCTGAAATGACTTCTTATGGCTGCTTTTATTTTTATAGTCACCTATAAATTAGTAATTTTAAATGAATTATCATTCTTTGGTATTACTTTTGCTTTCATTATGAATTAGTTGTCTAATCAGAGCACCTTCCTCCAACCCCTACCCCCAGCTGTCAGGAGAAATTAACCCACTGGCACCTGCAGACAGGGTTCTAGTGCACATCTGGCATTGGCAGGTCTCAGGCTGACAGTCTCAAGAGATAATCCTCCACCTGCCTCTAAGAACTTTAAATAATGTATACTTTGATTCAGATGCAGAAGAATTAAACTTAAAAATGGATAATAAAGTTGTGTGGGTAACTTTTCACTATTCAGGAGATCTACTTGTTACTGATATATCAGTCTAAAGTTATAAATATGAGTTGTACTTATACTGTTTGTAACACATTGTCTTGATATCTAGGATGAAAGAAAACTAGCTAACTCATAAAATGAAGATACTTTTTTTTAACTGAACTATTTAACATGTGTAAAAATTTCATTTTTACTCACATGATTCAGATAAAAATATATCAGGATTGCATTTTTGGGTTTCAGAATTGCCTTTGCTTGCTCTTAGAAGGTGAAACTCTGTTTTTGGTTTTTGAAATAAAAGAAATGGAGTATAACTTTAAAATACCTATTTGTGTTGCACAGCTACTGCTTTATAAAGGTACAGGAGAGAAAACGTTTAATTTTAGCTTCTTTATCAAAACTTAAATTGTTTAGGTCTGAAGACTGAAAAACATCTTAAAACTTAAGATTCATTTGGGTGATTTCAATGTATTTGTCCTTAT